TTGTCGTTTTGTGTTTTCTTTATAAATTTTAAAGTCGTTTTCAAAAACGCGTTTTCGAAAATAGGAAAGAGAACGCGTTTTCACTATTTTCAAAAATCGAAAACAGAAAACGACTTGAAAACAGCAAAGAGAACATGCCCTAAAATTCCCACTTGTCTCTATTGCTCTGCCGAAAAGAAATCTCTCGACGAACCCTAATTTCTCTTATTCTCTCTCGATTATTCTCGATTGTTGAAAGAAATCATTGAGATATATATATCTGTAAGTATAATTTTTATGTGTGTTCCAATACATGAAATATTTCTCACCTTCGCTTGAGAATCTCTATGCTTGAGAATCTCTCGAGTTTGTGTGACGGAGGTACCATCTTCGTCAAACACGGAGACAACAGCGTGTCTCCGTGTCTCGTGGAGGCACGAGTCATGTCTCCGGCGCACAAGGAGACACGGTGCTTGTCTCTGTGCGCAATGAATGAGACACTGTGCTTGTCTCCTTGTCTGGCGAAAACACGCTGTGTCTCCGTTGCCCCATGGAGACACTATTTCTTTATAACATTCGGAAATATGCATTGCGTGCCTTTTTTTTACTTTTGTTTTTGGTGTATGCTAAATACCATAGGTTATCCAAAGAAGGGAATGAACTGACTTCATACCTGCCTTTGTTATCTATTAATTTGGAAATAGTCCAAGACTTATGAAGTGGTGTGCATTTATCATGTAGATTGGTAGCAAAAGACAGCTGCTGGGATTTCATTTTTAAAACTTTCTGTAATTTTTTTTAGTTAGAGATGAAGTAATTTTATTGCTTAGGTAAAGTCTTAAAGATGTCTAATGTCACCTAAATGTGTACGGTTACTGTCAATGACAAGAAATTGCAGCGCACTGTGCTCAATAGACGTAGCATGTAATAAGTGTGTAGCAGGTGTTAGGTAAGGAGGTTAAGCAGCTAGAAACCAAGGAAGCAACAGACTCAAAAGAAAGGTTTGTTTATCATAAATCGAACTGCTTCTTTGGGTTATTTATCTTATGCGTAAAAAGTGTTTTTTTTCCTTGGTCATGCTTCAAAGCAATGCTTCCAAGGCTTGGCGTGCCATTTTGATTTTGTGATCATATCATTTTGAAATATCATGTAGGTATTGAAAAAGCAAGAAAGACAAACTTGCATTTGATGAGCAAACCGATACTTGGAAGCGACGTCATGGCTATTAGGTGAGTTTATTAAGTTAGTTACTTTGTTTCTTTGCATCCACATATCAGTATTCTAAATTACGTTTTCCCTGTGATTATCTTTGTCTCCGGTTCAATTACTAAATCTTCATTTGGTATTTTCAGCTTTCTTTATTTTTAGGAGGAGTTCCAACTTGCTTTATTTAAGACAAACAAAAAGGAGAGCTTGTTTGCCGACCGAGTTAGTTTTCAAGTGTAGAGTAAATTAGTTGATACCTCCAATGTCTGTATGAATTTATTTTCTCCTCAACACATCCTAAGATGCATACATGTTTGAGTTGGTGTGTGTACCTAATTGAGCCATTGAACTCTTTGTAAGTCTGGGGAGGTCATGTGTTTGCTTTTTAGTAACCATGTTACTTCAATGGGTGTGTTGCCTTGTTGAGTTATTGATAATGGTATTGCAGGAAATCCTTTTTAATTGCTATTCACCTCAAAATCTGTTTACACTCCAGGTATTTGACTTGTTTGGCAAAAAGCACAATGGGATATTAGACTTTGACGAGCTTCCGCGCACTCTTTCAGTCTTTCATCCCAATGCTCCTATTGAAGATAAAATTGATTGTAAGTGTCATCCTTTTATGTTGTTATTTCTTTACCATTTTTGCTCTTTATTTCTATTTTCTTAGACTTTTGCTTGTTGTTACAGAGTAATATTAGGAGCTGGGAGATAGCTCCGTGCTGCTTCACGGATGGTGCCTTGGTGGTGGTTGTTTCTATATTTACATTTTTGATGTATAAGATGTGCTGATCCGTAGTAGTTGTTTGAATTTTAGAGCTGCTCTCCATATGTTCCTGTTTGGACGTTTATTAAAAGTAGTTAGTAGTACATTTACTGGGGGAAAATGTAGGTAGAAAAATGTAATTTTGAGATAGGTACCTAAGAGCTTTGTTTCATGAGTTCTGTTGCTGGGCATTTGAGGAATGTTTCAGCTGGATTTCCAGTAATTGATGCTGTGACTGAGCATGTGGAGTCATGTAATTGAACAACTGCTCTTGCTCTAATAGAATGGAAGTGGAATCATTGTTAGTATTTTCAGGTGTATTTGACGATTATTAGATAAAAAATAATGCATTTATTCATATAGATGATGTACCTTGGAGTTGGTGTAGCCTAACTGTGCTTTCAAAATCTACAGAAATAAGTTTNGGTGTAGCTTAATTGTTTTTGCAAAATCTACAGAAATATGTTTCATTTACATTTGCACTTGTAGATTTATTGCAATTGTCACATGATAGATATCATAGTGGTTGGTTTAGTTCAGAGACTGCGTGTCTCCGTTTCATTCATTTGGTATTGGTCACAAATAACAAATGTTGAATTCCTTCTTTTGTTAGTGATTTTGCTTAAAAATGAGAAATTTAAATTGTTGTCTAAACTGAACATGATGCCTTCTATGCCCTTTGTTTTCTTTTGAGATTTTACGCATGAAACAAAATTATGATAATTTTCTTATGTACTTTCAGGTGGTTCCCTTTTTCTTTTTGACTGAAAGGTGCATATCTACTTCTGGAAAGATGGCTATAATTGGAGAAAGAAGAAAGGTGGAAAGGCAGTGAAGGAGGCTCATAAAAGGTTCAAGGTATGTGTTGGATAATATTTCTCTGCTTTATGAACTTCAGTTTTACTGATAGAAATCTGAAAATTTGCACCAGCAGTTTGTTATGATCTCATTTGTTATATTGATGCTTCAAAAAAAATGTATCTACAGCACATCAGGTGAAGCCCTCACCAACAGCTCCACGCCGTTGTGTCTTCTCATCTCAATATCTCCATTCACAGTATTCCAAAGTTTGCAGAGGCTAGGGATGCTGTCAAAGCTATTGTTCTTACTGGTAATTTTACTATATAGATTTGTTTCCTTATTTAATTATTTATTCCAGTTGGTATTTGATCATTTTGAATTCCATAACTGATGCTTGTTTTATTGTGGCAGTTATTACAAGTTCGAGCAAATTTTAGTGTTAATTTCATCAAACTATCTATGAAAATTTGGTGCTGGGTGAGAATGAAAATGATTATGTGGTGAAGATATAGGATATTGTTCTTGGTTGAAAAAAATGTTATTGGTAATAGTAGGGGGACAAAAAAAAATCCTTCGTGCGCGCACGGAGACACCACTATCTCCGTGCCACACGGAGACACCATGT